TTTTGTGTCAATTATAATTTAAAAATCTATTTAAAAATTTTGGTAAAATTCACATAAACTAGAGTTCTTTGAATTTCTTGGGAGATAGAGTCTCATTTAAATGGGTTCATGGCTTATACATCTCAGTTGTTTAAGCTTCTCCTGGGCAACATCAGTGAGGAAGACCTGCATATTTAGGCTTACTTGGAGGCTGTGTGACTTTAGAGCTGACACATTCCTTTGCTCAGCCTCTCTTCATCTGTGAAGTGGGGATTATATAAAGTTATTCTATTTATTTATTTATTTATTTATTTATTCATTCATTCATTCATTCATTCAATTCAGAGAGGAAGGGAGAGGGATAGAGAGATAGAAACATCAATGATGAGAGAATCATTGATTGGCTGCCTCCTGCATGCCCCTCACTGGGAATCGAGCCTGCAGCCCAGGCATGTGCCCTTGGCTGGAATCAAACCCGGGACCCTTCAGTCCACAGGCCGACACTATCCATTGAGCCAAACCAGCCAAGGCTGAAGTGGGTATTATAAAATATGGAAATGGAAATGAACATGTGTGTATTGAGCATACACAATAGCCAGGTGTGGCTTTTTTTTTTCTTTTAAAATTTATTTTATTTCCATGTATGGCTATTTAAATGAAAATTAATTTATTTAAAATTTTATAAGTTTTGATTTGAGCCAAATTGACAACAGATGCTGGGAAGAAAGATCTCAAATGCTCCCTAAATTTAAATTAATTAAAATAAAATTAAATGAAAAAAATTAACTTCCTCATTTATACTAACCACATTTTTGTTGTTGTTGTTAATCCTCACACAAGGATCTTTTTCCATTGATTTTTAGGGAGAGTGCAAGAGAGGGGGAAAGACAGAGAGAAACATCAATGTGAGAGAATCACATTGATTGGTTGCCTCCTGTTCGAGCCCCAATCAGGTCTGGGGCCTAAGAGGAGCCTGAAACCAAGGTTGCAGAGCCCTTTACTGGAATGGAACTGGGACCCTTTGGTCTGCAGGCTGATGCTCTATCCACTGAGCCAAACAGCTATCACATACACACACGCACAACACAAATCATAGAAAAGGAGGTAACAAATGCAGTGTAGAAAACAAAACAGAGTGATGAGGAATGTCTGAGGTGACATGTTAGCAGAGAACAGAATGAAAAAGAGAAATCTGGAAATGGTGAGTTAAAGGAATGGGGATCTAGGCAGAGAGCACCACCAGTAAGAAGGTACTAAAGTAGGGATGCATTTGAAAGAACCATGAGTTGCTGGAGCCCCATGGACAGGGAAGAGATAGTAGAAAAATCTGAGAGTTGGGCAGAGATCAGATCACTGGGCCTTTGCATCTAGGTTAGGAGTTAGGATTTTTTATTTTTTTCTGAAAGAGCCATGGGAGGGTTGTAAGTGGGGGAGTGACATGGTCTAATTATATTTGGCATTTATATCATTCTGCACAATTTTATTAGTTAAATGTTTACTTTACCTGTGTCTCTATCTGATTGTACAATACTGGACATTTTTATCCTTAGTATATTTGTCAACCTCAATATAATAGTAAAAACTGTGGAAGAGTTGAATTAAATTAGAAAATCCTTATCACTGACCTACTGGGCTATGGCAGAGTCCCAGAGTATAACAAAACTAATAAAGATATTTTAATTTTATTTTTTTGATTTTAGAGAGAGGAAGGGGGAGAGAACAGAAGGAGAGAAAGAGACAGAGAGAAAGAAACATTGATGTGAAAGAGAACATCGATCAGTTGCCTCCTGCACACACACCTCAACTGGGGATCAACTGCAACCTGGATACATCCTGCCCTGGAACAGAAACCTCATCCTTTTGGTGCACAGGGTGTTGCTCCAACCAACTGAGCCTCATGGGCCAGGGCTGGCCATAAAATCTTTTGCCTCCCAAATAATAAGGCATGACCTGTCTGTATGTGAAACATTTCAGAATATGTCTCCGAACCTTCGGTGGTGGTTGAGGTAGGGTCAATAGTGTCTATTATAAGTATTTAAAGACAAAGCATAAAGGGAAAGTGAGTATCTAGGCTCACTAAACCTTTCCAAACCTCAGCTTCCTCCTCCAAGAATGGGTTAATAACAGCACCTGCCTGAGGGTGAAGTAAATGCACAGAGCCTATGACAGTAAATTCTCCAGAAATGGTGCCTGTAGTATTCATGCATATTTAGGTTTAGTTTTGAGTTCACCCACAGACTTCTGTTCATTACAACAATCCTTTAAGGGAGATAGAACAAGTATTTTTGAACCCATTGAAGCAATGAGGAAATCAAGGCTTGGCTCAACTTAGTAACTCATAGAGATACCCAGCTTCCGAAGTGGCAGAGCTGGGATCTGAACCCAAGTGTGGAGGAAACTATTTCTTGATGTGACCGCTGCCTCTCCCATGAGCTGAACTTGGGCTGTATCAGAGGTTGCCTTCCACAACCCCCCATTAGAGGCTGTCTGATTACAATTGATGTTCATTCTGACATAAATGAGCACCCCTTCCTTGCTTGCTCCTATGTGCTGGTCCTTGGTATAGGCCCATTGTCCTGACCTGGTTAAGCATTCTAAAATTAGAATAGATTAAATTAATTGGATTTATTATTTTAATTTTTTTGTTATTGATTTGAGTGAGAGAGAGAAACATCAGTTTGTTATTCAACTTATTTATGCATTCATTGGTTGATTCTTGTATGGAACCGGCAACATTGGCTTACTGGGACGATGCTCTAACCAACTGAGTTATCTGGCCATGGCTAATTTGATGGACTTAAAATACCAAAAGTAAACTGATACAGCCCAGTGGGTATAGCTCAGTGGTTGAGTGCTGTTCTATGAACCAGGAGGTCTCGGTTCTATTCCAGGTCAGGGCACGTGCCAGGGTTGTGAGCTCAATTTCCAATAGGGACAAGCAGCAGTCAGCCAATCAATGATTCTCTCCCATAATTGATGTTTCTGTCTCTCTTTTTCTCTCCCTTCCTCTCTGAAATCAATAAAAATATATTTTAAAAAAAGTAAACTGAAAGAAAATCAGGGTTTTGTTCTTTGTGTTAAAATAAAGGTGTAGAAAACAGAGGGCACAGCAATAGGCCCTAAACTTGCCATGGGCCAAGGAGTTATGATAATGAGGGCACCAAGCCCTTTATCCCTGGAACAGGAACCATTTATAGACTCTACAATGGGATTTTCCACCAGGATAGGTCTTCACATTCTTGAGTGTGGAAGAACTGCTTAGTCTCTGGTGGGGCCCTGTCATTCTAATGCCCCTGGGACCCATGCATGGAGATACACTATACATGGACTGGTATATGCACCGTCAAAAGAGGAAAGAATGGATCCTCTTCTGGCATATTCCCTCTCCTATCCCCTTACTGACCCCAGGGAGCACAACTTCCTGCTGCACAACATGTGGTTTACACAGCCTGGCTAGGCTGCAAGTGTAATTCTCAAAGAAGGAGAAGATCTCCCAATTCAAGTCCCTACCAAATATTTGTCTTTCTGGCCTTAGATCTGCTCTTCTTGTGGTATCCACTTATGGGGAGTATAGTGGTTGGGGGAAGCATTCATTATCCAAACTGAATGCTGTGTTTTTATACTCAATCCATCTGCTAATATTTCTTTTTTTGTTAGTACCAGACTTACTAACCAACTGGTTTAGGGCCTGGGAGAGCATAATGAAAAACATTGTTATTAATACTTGGGCTGCTTCTTTTAATTTGTCTCTTTCCTTATACGTGTCTGCACTGTTATTGAAAACTGTGTCTTCAATGCAGTCAATTAGCAATAACTGAGCTACCTCCCTGCCACTGAAGTCCCTGCTGACCTGTAGGTCACCTTGCGGAAGGGAGGAGGCATGGGAGTGTAAGAGCCGGTCATGAGGGTTGGAGTGTGAGGAGAGACTGTTCCATGACGTGACTTCTGTTTGTCCCACAAACTGGTTCAGACCAGAATGGAGGCTGCTTTCCACAAACGTTCCTTTGATTGATCATAATCGATATTCATTCTGACATTAATTGGTACACTTTCTTTGCCTCCTGCTCTGCAGCAGTTCTTGGAGCAGGCCTTTGTCTTTTCCTTGTCAAGCATGTAAAGTAATTTCCAATACCTGGTATGAATAGTATCTATGACTGTCCCCACCCTTTACTTCATACAATTATTTGTGCCCCGTGAAGGAGTGTGGGCATCCATTTGGTCTTGCAGTCATCAGAAAAGAAGCTTGCATGTGAGTTTTTCTTACTAAACTGCTAGTTGCCAGATTGGAGTGGCTGCTTCGTTTGCCAGCCTCTCTCTGCCCCCCATTTATGATGGCAGACTTTCAGTTTTGGGGCTTTTCTCTGAGTCTGTGTCTATGAGCACCAGGCTGGTCCACATTCTGCTATCTGAAATGTTCTCCTGACATCCTTCAATAAAATGCAGTCTGAGTCGTTGCTTCCTGTAGCATGAGTGATGAAACACAGTGATTCACATTCTGACTGAATCCTTGTTAATAGATAACTTGGCAATATAACTGAGGCTAGGGACTAGCCATTGTGGCCACAGGGCAAGAAGTACCCTCTACTCACCAAAGGGCCAGTAGACGGTCATCTCAGAGCCCAAGGGTAAGTGCATCAGGACCATTGGAGGACTGGTCTTTGCTCTGGTGTCTCCCTGCCACTGAGCCTGGCTCTGTTTCCTTCCTGTTTCCTCCCTAATCTCTCTGAGCATCGGGAGTCAGTGTGGACTTTACATGTGGAAAAGGAGCTGGGAAATAAGGGGCTACTTTCAAGGGCAGCTTTGCCTGTCTGTTGGAGGTACAGAGCTCTCAGCCACCCTGAGCTAACAGAGACCTGAAGCCATTGTATGTGGTCTCCCATCCATAGCAGGGTAGGCTCATGTGATGCATGCAGTTAGGTACAAGGAAAAGTTGCAATCTGAGAATTAAGATGTGTCCCCATACCATCAGTTGGGGGCACACCAAATAGTCCATTTTCTCTTTTTTCTTCCCTTTAGGCTGACATCATCATGCCTTCTTGGGTAGCCTTCCCCAGCCTCATACTACTTTGGGCAGGTAAGTGCTAGGTGGGCTGGGGTTGGCATGGGGGAGTGTAGGGTGTATGAGGCTGTGGGTGAGGAAGATGGATGTGCTTGGACTCTGTTGGAAGGTAATGGGTCAACTAGTGAGCAAAGAACCAGACTGAAATCTTACTCCAAAGTAATTCCTTAAATGGTATGAATCACAAAATCTAAGGGTAAGTATAACATTTTGTTGTATGCTGCCATTTCTGTGTAAGAAAGAGGGGGTGGGTAGGTAGTCAGGTAAACATGGACTTCTCACATGGATGTAAGAAATAGTACCAGCGTTTTCATGGTGTAGGAGGAAATGGAAAGAAGACTTGGGGATAGAATGGAAAAGAGACTAGTCTTTTATTTTGTAAATTTGTGTGTGTGTTTTTAATCACATGCAAATATTTCTTTTAAAAATATAATATGGCCTGACCAGCATGGCTCAGTTGGTTGGGCATCTCCCCATGCACCAAAAGGTCTCTGGTTCAATTCCCAGTCAGGGCACATGTCCAGGTTTCTGGCTGGATCCCAAGTAGGGGGCATGTAGGAACAGTCTATCAGTGTCTCACTCTCACAACAATGTCTCTCTTTCTCTCTCTCCCTTATTTTCTAAAAATCAATAAAAAATCTTTAAAAAAGTAAAAATAATATATAGGGTGTCCCAAAATATTTATACAGACATTTTAATAGCCAATAGCTGAAATTTGAAAATGAAATGTATTGAAATAAATACTGTCTTTATAATTATTCAAATTGTGTGTATACATTTTTTGGGACACCCTATATTTTAATTCAAAACATTCTATGAGATAGAGAAGATGTTAGGAATAGACACAACCTAAATTTAAAAATAATAATCACCAGATGTGATGTGATTATGGGGAAAAGTTCATTTAAATTATACTTCCATACTAAATTTTTATGTTAGCATGCTGTATTTGTAATCTACAAATGATGTTAGGCATAATCAAATATTATAAAAATCCAGTGAAAAAATAGACTCCTATTTTACGTAACTATCAGCATTTTATTCCCAGAGCGTTTTGAAACTCGCAATCCAAACCTAGCTGATTAGTTGGGTTATGTAAAGTACAGCATAGGAAATACAGTCAATAATCTTATACAGTGGGGCCTTGACTTACGAGTTTAATTCGTTCCGAGACCGAGCTCATTAAAGAGCTGTTAAGGAGCTCATTAACTCAAATTACTCTGTCAACTCAATGCAAAAAATTGGCCGAGAGACAGCTGGTATCTCAAAAAAAGAGAGACAGCTGGTATCTCAAAAAACTCGGGACACTAGTAAGTCAAGGCCCCACTGTATAATAAAAGCCCAGCAACTGAACTGCGGAACAAGTAGAATGACCAATCGACCTGTCGCTATGATGTGCACTGCCCCCCAGGGGGCAGATGCTCAACACAGGGGCTGCCTCCCTGGTGGTCACTGTGCTCCCATAGTGGGAGCACTGCTCAGCTGACCGGGATGAGTGGCACTCCTACAGTGGGCTGATCCCTACAGGCCACGCCCCCCTACCAGTGCATGAATCCTGTGCACCAGGACCCTAGTATTTTCATAGCTATGAATGGTGTGAAATGGGTACTAGACTTATTGGGTGATCACTTCACAAGTTATATAAATGTCTAATCACTATGTTGTACACTTTCAACTAATACAATACTGTATATCAATTATAACTTAAAATTAAAAAAAAATAAGATTAATTAGTACATCTCAGATTTCATTTAAGGACCAACTTGACTACATTTGACAATATAGGGTTTAAAAATATGTATATTTTTATTGATTTCAGAGAGAGAGGAAGGAAGTGGGAGAGAGAGATGGAAACATTAATGATGAGAGAGAATCATTGATAGGATGCCTACTGCACTCCCCCTACTGGGGATTGAGCCTGCATTCCTGCTTGTGCCCTGACTTGAAATTGGCCCTTGACCTCCTGGTTCATAGACTGATGCTCAACCACTGAGCCACACTTGGTGGGCGACAATATGGGGTTTTAAAGCCACTAGCACTGGAGAGAGTTTTTGTTTTTAAGTGGCTTAGTTTAGTACTTGATTGAATGTTGCCCAGTTCTCTGGGTTCACCATGGGAAGTGGGCCTCGCTCAAGTGCCATGCTCATCTACTCATGAGAATGATTTCTACTTGGATTTTTTTGGACCATCCTCAAGAGCATGATCAGCCTTGGCTCTTCTGGAACCATTAGAAACCTATTTTCTAAAAATGGATTCCTGAAAGTTTATTAGACTTCTGCCTATTAGGCAACAATACTTTATTTATTATTTTTATATTTAAATTTTTGATTAAAATTGTTGATTTGTTATTCTACTTACTTATGCATTCATTGGTTGACGCTTTTTTGAAAAAATATATTTTATTGATTTTTTACAGAGAAGAAGGGAGAGGGACAGAGAGTTAGAAACATCGATGAGAGAGAAACATCGATCAGCTGCCTCCTGCACACTCCCCACTGGGGATGTGCCTACAACCAAGGTACATGCCCTTGACTGGAATCAAACCCGCGACCCTTCAGTTCGCAGGCAGACGCTGTATCCACTGAGCCAAAACGGTCAGGAACATTGGTTGATTCTTGTATGTGCCCTAACTGGGGATCACACCCACAACCTTGGCATACTCATGTTGCTCTAACTACCTGAGCTACCTTGCCAGGGCCTAATAATACTTGATTTATTTATTTAAAATACATATGTTCATCAGCCTGGGTTTTGGGCTCAATCCCCAGTATTGACAGTCATTTGGTTCAAACATTTTGGAAATTAATTTGATAAAAATATTTCTGCTCTTTGTCCTGGTAATTTCTATTTTAGAAGTTTATCCTATTGGGAAACAATTCCAAATACAGAAATAAGTTTAGCCCTAGTCAGTTTGGCTCAGTGGATAGAGTGTCAACTCATGGATTGAAGGGTCCAAGATTTGATTCTGGTCAAGGGCATGTATCTCCATTGCAGGCTCAATCCCAGCCATAGTCAGGGCTCATGCATGAGCCAACCAGTCAATGTGTGTTTCTCACATTAATATTTCTCTCTCTCTGTCTCCCCACTCTCTTCCACTCTTCTAAAAATCAATGGAAAAATATCCTTGGGCGAGGATTAACAACAACAAAAAAAGAAATAAGTTTAAATTATGTGTTATTTACAACTATCAAGAAACCAAAATGCTGATAAAGATGTAAAAAGTAAAACATAAAAAAATTTAGATTCAATATTAAAGTCACATGATTACAAATGAAATACACCATATAAAGAGAAGTGGATATAAATATAAAATTAAAATATTGAGCCTCACACTCAGTTTTGTTTTTATTGGCAGATGTTGTTGTTTCTCAGACACGCGTGACTGGAGTTGTGGGACAGTCTGTCACGCTACCGTGTACCTACTCAACAGCTGGTGAAATCGCACCCATGTGCTGGGGCCGAGGGCCTTGCCCTTTATCCAAATGCTCAAATACACTCGTTTCGACCGATGGCTACCATGTCACCTATGAGAAGGACAAACGTTTTAGGATGAATGGAATCATTTCCAGAGGGGATGTGTCTCTAACCATACAGAATGCAGCCCTGTCTGACACTGGCACCTATTGTTGCCGTATTGAGTACAGTGGGGTTTTTAATGATTATAAAGGGAATATATTTTTGGAGATAAAGCCAGGTGAGTTTGTCTTCCTGTGATCACTTCATGTGCATGAACTGAGATGTTTACTGTTTGGTAATGATATTCTCTTCCTTTAAGAAAGAAAGAGAAGTTTCCTACAATCCTGTTTTTTAATAACTTTGGGGAAATAGAATTACTTACTTGTGTAGAATGAAGTGTTTAAAGAATCTAGAGTCAAGAGCATAGGTTAGAGGGCCTTTCCAGTCTGCAGTGCTTCCAAGATGCTGGTTAGTTCGTGAAGAGGCATTCACAGCTCCATAGAGATATGAAGTGAACATTTTTCTCAAACTGAATTTATTCAATGTAAACAACCGTACTTTTTCTCTGAGATGATGTCATTGAAAATTTATAACATGACCTTTCTTAACATTTTAAATCTAAAATGGAGATTTTCAAATGTATAAAGTAGACAGTATTGTATAAGAGATTGTCAACTAGATACATTACTAACTTTGACATTTACCAACTCAATCATGTTGCATATATATTGCATAAGCATATATAGTCCCACCCCCACACTCTGCCCTACCTTCTTCTTCTTTATTGTTCCGTATGCTCCTTTAATCAAACCAATTGTCTACTCTGCAGTGGTTCTCAACCTGTGGGTTGAGACCTCTTTGGCGGTCAAATGACCCTTTCACATGGGTCACCTCAGACCATCCTGCATATGAGATATTTACATTACGATTCATAACAGTAGCAACATTACAGTTAAGAAGTAGCAACGAAAATAATTTTATGGTTGGGTCACAAAATGAGGAACTGTATTTAAAGGGCCAGAAGGTTGAGAACCAGTATTCTAGGGGTGCCTTTTATAGTTAGTAGAGTTGAGTTTGAAGGAAGCTTCTTGTAAAAAAAAAAAAAAAAGGTGCTTCGGGAGCAGAATGTACACATTCTTGAATCAGGCCTTCATTGATCTGCATTTTTGCCAGGCACTGGGTTTGGGCTTAAGTCTAGTGTCAGCATTCTCTGGGTAGCTCTGAGACCTTCGGTGAGTGGTTTTTAATCCAACACCGTATCTGACCCTGGAAAGAGACAAAGTTATTACCTGTGGTCTAGTCCACCTTCCTGCCAATAGATAAAGTGTCTGTGTGATCTTATCTATGCTAGTGGGTGTGAGTTAATCCTCATTTAGGGTGCAGGTCTCTTTGGAGGGTATCCTCAAGACTGAAATGAATGCTATGTATTAATTAATATATTTTTAACTTTCTGGGCCTAGAAACTATTAATTTAGTCATTCACCCCTGAGAGGACAAAGACAGGTCCAGGCTCTAGACATTTTCCCCATCTCCGAGATATTGACGAAGATACATAAATCTGATTTGCGTGGTTGGTCTTCTCAGAGTGCTTCGGTGTTAACCCTGGGTATCCTTTCTCACCTCTGAATCTCCTCGTATATATTCTTGCAATACAGCTATCTCTGTTTTCTTTGGCTTTTCTTCAAGCCCTCCCCTGTAAGGATCTCATTAACCAAGGACAGGGGGTCATAGTGCAGGGCAAATTAGTGCCTAGTTTTGCTTGGGGACAGTCTCTGGTTGGTTATGTTGATGTACAGGCCCAGCACAAAGCTCTTGTTCCCTGCTGCTTGATTAACCCTGGCTTTCATGTTGATTTCTAGCTCCAACCACAGTTCCAACACCACCTAAGGTTTTCAGCTCTGCTCCTACAACTCCAGGGACCACGAAGAATGTCATGACAGGTAAAGCCATTTGTTTCTGAGGCCAGAGACCTTCTAGTAAGAGTGTGGAAACCACCCAGGGCATGGGTTCTTAGGTGGATCCAAGCGAGGGTTTCATAGCATCTGTGAACTCCAGTCTTATAGCCAGATTTTGTAACTATAAGTATTTTCAGAATAAGAAGACTCATTGGGTTTTCTTAAAAATCGTTATTATTGAAATTCTTAAAAATCGTTATTATTGAAAGTATTACAGATATTCCCTTTTCCCTCTCATTGACCCCTTCTTGTCTGCACCCGCCATGTCTTTAATACATTATTGTCAGTGTCCATGGGTTATGCTTATATGTATACAAGTTCTTTGGTTGATCTCTTCTTCTCATCCACCCATACACCCCCACCTTCCCTCTGAGACTCGCCTGTTTGTTCCATACTTTTAGGCTCATTGGTTTTTCTGGTCAGATTTTCAAAAGCATTCACTATTAGCCCAAACCCCCAGATCACTGATCTTTGATATCTAATGAGGATGGTGTGGATTTTGCCCAATGAGCACAGGCTTAAGAGGAAAATACAGGAAAGTACAGAGAAAAATGGTCAAGTTAATGGCATTCTGTTCTCCCAAGGAGTTCTGAAGAGGGATCCTTTACTTCACTCTGAAGTGAGACCCTCTACCTGAGCATAAGATTGTAGTGAAGTTAATATTCACTCTGTCTCCTATGTCAGGAACCATGCTAAGTACTTTGCAAATGTTATATCACTGAATTCTTATGACAACCCTATGCGTTGTAGGTGTGATTCAGTCTTATTTTATAGGGTGCTGTCAAGTAGATACAGCACCAGCTTTAACAATTGTCCTTTCAATCTTGTTGCATATACATTGTGTAAGCATTGAAATAGACAAGTTCATTAGAAAAACTGGTTAATTTTTCTTGTATTTATTGTTCCTTATGTTCCTTTATTTTTTTTATTTTTTTCCTTATGTTCCTTTAAAATGATTTTTTTGCATGTTCGCTTTCCCCTCCATACTATATTTAAAATTGGAGGAAAGAGCTTGGATTGTATCTTCCTAAAAGCCTCTGATTATACCTTTGACCAGGGTCAGCAAACAATAGTCCAGGGCCAGATTAGATTCAAATTGGGCCCACCAACTGCTTTATAAATAAAGTTTTGTTGGAACAGTCATATCCAATTATTATATTATCTTTTCTATAGAAACCTTCACACTGATATAGTTGAGCAACTGTCTCTAAGATCATCCAGCCACCAGAGCTTAAACATTTACTCTCTGGCCTTTTACAAAACTTTGCTGACCTCTGCATTAGATTAATGCAGTTGTTCTCAACCTGTGGGTCCCAACCCCTTTGGGGGTCAAACGACCCTTTCACAGGGGTCGCCTAAAACCATTGGAAAACACATATATAATTACATATTGTTTTTGTGCTTAATCACTATGATTTAATTATGTTCAATTTGTAACAATGAAATTGGGGGACAACATGTGGAACTGTATTAAGGGTCGCGGCATTAGGAAGGTTGAGAACCACTGGATTAAAGCCTTCCATGCAATAGACACAAATATTTGTTGAAAAACAGTGTTTCCTCTTGAAGGCAATAATTGGCTCAATTACAAATTAAAGTAGATTTCTCCAAGGAAGAGCTTTCAAGTTAATGGACTCCTATACAATGGACTCCTCTTTTATACTCAGTAGAGTTAGATTTAAAATATCTTCTTGTAGCCAGCCTGGTGTCACTCAGAGGTTGAGTATTGACCTATGAACCAGGAGGTCATGGTTCGATTCTGGTCAGCGTACATGCCCAGGTTATGGGCTCAATGTCCAGTGTGGGGCATGCAGGAGGCAGCTGATCACTCATTCTCTCCCATCATTGATGTTTCTATCCCTCTCTTCCTCTCCCTTTCTGAAATCAATAAAAAAATATTTTTTAAAAGGAAAGCTTATTATAAAAGAAAAATAAGGTTCTTGGTGAGAAAAGGGGCCACAGTCTTGAATCAGGCCTTCATTGATCTGCATTTTTGCCAGGCACTGGGTTTGGGTTTAAGTCTAGTGTCAGCATTCTCTGTGTAGCTCTGAGACCTTCGGTCAGTGGATTTGAATCCAACACCGTATCTGACCCTGGAAAGAGACAAAGTTACTACCTGTGGTCTAGTCCACCTTCCAGCCAATATATAAAGTGTCTGTGTGATCTTATCTATGCTAGTGGGTGTGAGTTAGTCCTCATTTAGGGTGCAGGTCTCTTTGGAGGGTATCCTCAAGACTGAAATGAATGCTATGTATTAATTAATATAGTTTTAACTTTCTGGGCCTAGAAACTATTTATTAATTTAGTCATTCACCACTGAGAGGACAAAGACAGGTCCAGGCTCTAGACATTTTCGCCACCTCCGCGATATTGACTAAGATACATAAATCTGACATGCGTGGTTGGTCTTCTCAGAGTGCTTCGGTGTTAACCCTGGGTATCCTTTCTCACCTCTGAACCTCCTCATATACATTCTTGCAATACAGCTATCTCTGTTTTCTTTGGCTTTTCTTCAAGCCCTCCCCTGTAAGGATCTCATTAACCAAGGACAGGTGGTCATAGTTCAGGGCTAATTAGTGCCCAATTTGGCTTGGGGACAGTCTCTGGTTGGTTATGTTGATGTACAGGGCCAGCACAAAGCTATTGTTCCCTGTTGCTTGATTAACCCTGGCTTTCATGTTGATTTCTAGCTCCAACCACTGCTCCAACACCACCTAAGGTCTTCAGCTCTGCTCCTACCACTCCAAGGACCACGAAGAACCTCAAGACAGGTAAAGCCATTTGTTTCCAAGGCCAGAGGCCTTCTAGTAAGAGTGTGGAAACCACCCAGGGCATGGGTTAAAACATACAATTCAGGGTAAGGATTCTTAGGTGGCTCCAAGCGAGGGTTTCATAGCGTCTGAGAACCCCAGTCTCATAGCCAGATTTTGTAACTATAAGTATTTTCAAAATAGGAAGACTCACTTTTTTCCCTAAAATCTTTATTGTTGAAAGTATTAAGATATTCCCTTTTGTTCCCCCATTGACCCCTTCCAGCCTGCATTCGCTCCCCTCCCCACCCTATGCCTTTATGACACTATTGTCTGTGTCCATGGGTTATTCTTATATACATTGAAGTTCTTTAGTTAATCTCTTCGCATCCACCCACTCACTCCCAACTTACTTCTGAGAATTGCCAGTCTGTCCCATGCTTTTAGGCTCATTGGTTTTTCTGGTCAGATTTTCAAAAGCATTCATCATTAGCCTAAACCCCCAGATCACTGATCTTTGATATCTAATGAGGATGGTGTGGATTTTGCCCAATGAGCACAGACTTAAGAGGAAAATACAGGACAGTAAAGAAAAAAATGGTCAAGTTAATGGCATTCTGTTCTCCCAAGGAGTTCTGAATAGGGATCCTTTACTTCACTCTGAAGTGAGACCCTCTACCTGAGCATAAGATTGTAGTGAAGTTAATATTCACTCTGTCTCCTATGTCAGGAACCATGCTAAGTACTTTGAAAATGTTATATCACTGAATTCTTATGACAACCCTATGCGTTGTAGGTGTGATTCAGTCTTATTTTATAGGGTGCTGTCAAGTAGATACAGCCCCAGCTTTAACAATTATCTTTTCAATCTTATTGCATATAGATTGTGTATGCATTTGAGCAGACAAGTTCATTAAAAAAACTGGTTAGTTTTTCTTCTATTTATTATTCCTTATGTTTCTTTAAAAACTTTTTTTGCATGCTTGCTTTCTCATCCATTTTATATTTAAAATTGGATTTTTTTCTTCCTAAAGCCTTTGACTATAACTTTCACCAGGGTCAGCACACAATAGTCCAGGGCCAGATTAGATTCAGATTAGGCCCACCAACTGCTTTATAAATAAAGTTTTGTTGGAACAGTCATATCCAATTATTTTTCCACAGAAACCTTCACACTGATATAGTTGAGCAACTGCCTCTGAGATCATCCAGCCACCATAGTTTAAACATTTACTCTCTGGCCATTTACAAAAGTTTGCTGACTTCTGCTTTAGATTAATGCCTTCCATGCAATAGACACAAATATTTGTTGAGAAACAGTGTTTCCTCTTGAAGGCAATAATTGGCTCAATTCCAAATTAAAGTAGATTCTCCAAGGAAGAGCTTTCAAGTCAATGGACTCCTATACAATGGACTCCTCTTTTATACTCAGTAGAGTTAGATTTAAAAAATCTTCTTGTAGCCAGGCAGGTGACACTCAGTGGTTGAGCATTGACCTATGAACCAGGAGGTCATGGTTTGATTAGGGTCAGGGCACATGCCCAGGTTATGGGCTCAATCCCCAGTGTGGGGCTTGCAGGAGGCAGCCAATCACTGATTCTCTCTCATCATTGATGTTTCTCTCCCTTAGTCTCTGAAATCAATAAAAAAATATATTTAAAAAAGAAAGCTTATTGTAAAAGAAAAATAAGGTGCTTGGTGAGAAAAAGGGCCACATTCTTGAATCAGGACTTCATTGATCTGCTTCTGAGCCATGCATTGTGTTTAGGCTTAATTCTAGCTTCAGCTCTCTCTCTGGGCAGTTGGAGACCTTCTGTAAGTGAGTTGCAATCCTACACCACCTCTGACTCTGCAAAGTGTCAAAGTTATTACCTGTGGTCTAGTTCACCTTCATCCAAATGTATGTTGTACAAATCCTTCCTGTGATCCTGCATCTGCTAGTGTGGGTGAGTTAATCCTCCCCCCACCACTTGAGAGGGTACCCTCAGGACTGACTGAATTTAATGCTACTTATTTGGTACACATTTTGGGTCTGGGAGCTGCTGTTTAAGTAAGTCTTAGTCATTCACCACTCAGAAGACTAAGGCAGATCCAGGCTCTAGATATTTTCTGTACCTCGCAGATGTTTATGAAGATACATATATCTGATATGCATGGATGATCTTTTCACAGTACTTCAGTTTTAATTCTGGATAGCCCTTTTCACCTCTGAATGTCCTGGAGTGTATACATTTCAATGCATGTTTTCCTTTGGCCAGACAGTTTTCAGATTTTAATTGAGAAAGGATAAGAACTCTGAATTCAGGAGAGGTTGGTGCCCAATTATGCCTGGGGACAGACAGACTCTCATTGGTTGAGTTGACATACAGGCCTAGCACAAAGCTCCTGTTCCCTGCTGCTTGATTAATCCTTGCTTTCATGTTGATTTCTAGCTCCACCTAAGGTCACCAGTGTTCCAACACCACCTAAGGTCTTCACCTCTGCTCCTACAACTCCAGCACCAACACTGAACCATAAGACAGGTAAAATGATATGAGGCTAGAAGCCTTCTAATGAGTGGATGAAGGCCACCAGAGTATGTGTTAAGGCAGAGTTGCCATCTATGCTAAAGTTTTTTCCCTGGGTTCCATAGGGCCTCGTGTGATCTGTGAAACCTTGTCCCATATTACATGCATCTAATGGGTATCTTCAGAGTGAAGGGACTAATTAAAAAAAAAAAAGAAGATTCTTAAAGCGTTTCATCATTATCCAAAAAACCAAGACCTATGATATTGGACAACTAATGATGTGGATTTGGTCCAGTTGGCACTGGTTTCTGAGTAAAATCTAGGTTATTCCAGAGAAGAAGTGAAATCTGAGTGGAATTCCTTTAGTCCTCTCTGAAGTTGGACCATGCCCTTGACCGGAATCGAACCTGGGACCTTTCAGTCCGCAGGCCGACGCTCTATCCACTGAGCCAAACCGGTTTCGGCAAAAAAAAGAAGATTCTTAAAGCGTTTCATCATTATCCAAAAAACCAAGACCTATGATATTGGACAACTAATGATGTGGATTTGGTCCAGTTGGCACTGGTTTCTGAGTAAAATCTAGGTTATTCCAGAGAAGAAGGGAAATCTGAGTGGAATTCCTTTAGTCCTCTCTGAAGTTGGACCCTTTATACTAGGATAACAAGCCCATCACTAATTTTACCAATAATATTTTATTGAAAGAGCCATTTCTAATCATTGTACCATCAGGTAGGTCTTTGGCTGCTTTCACAATGTCAGAGTTGAACATCAGCCCCCCAGACTATAGCCCCCAACCCCTAACACTTCCCTCTGGCCATTTTCAGAAGGTTTGCTGACCTGTGATTTAGACTAATGCCTTGCATATAATAAACACTGACAAATATTTGTTGATTTATGTTTCTTGCACATCATAGCAAAAATTGGCTTGATTCCAAATTAAACTGTATCTCTCCAAAGAAGAGCTTTTAAACCATTGGCCTCCTGTGCAAAGGTTCTCTTTCTTCTAGTTATTCGAGTTGACATTTAAGTAAGCTTCTAGTGGGATACAAGGTGCCTGGTGAGGAAAAAGTACACATTGTAGATCAGGCATTCATTGATGGCCTTTTGTGCCAGGCACTGTGTTTGTGCTTAATCCCACTGCCATCTCTCTCTCTGGGTAGCTCTGAGACCTTCTGTAACTGCTTTGAAATCCTAAATCTGCTCTGTCATGGAAAGAGCCCAAGTTATTACCTTTTCATCTCTTAGTTGTGAAGGAATCATTGGTGGTCTAATTCACCTTTCAACCAAGTGTATAATGTATACATGGTCTGTGTGATCTAGCATATACTTGTGGTGTGAGTTAATTTAGGTGCCGGACTCCTGGGAGGGTATCCTCAGGACTGAATGAAATGAATGCAATTTATTGGGTAATCATTCTGGGCCTGGAACTACTGTCTAAATTTTAGTCATTCACCACAGAGAGAACAAAGTCAGTTCTTGGCCCTGGACACTTTCCCCACCTCACCAATGTGTAGAAGGATATGTAAATCTGATATGCATGGCTAGTGTCTTCAGAGTGCTTCCGTGCATAATCTGAGTAACCTTTTTCACATCTAAAGCTCCTGGAATCTATACTTTTCAATGCAGCTGTTTCTTTTTTGAAGGCTGGTCCTCAATCCCAGCTGGGTCAGATTCTAGTCATGGTCTACCAGGAACCTGGCCGAGGGTTGTGATTCATTACCAAGTTGAGAGATTGGGCAATGCAGTCACCTTGAAGAAACTTCAAGGCATTAAATATTGTGAGGATGTATCCCGTGCCGGTACATATGTGCATCTCTCTGGAAAGATGTGTGGGTGGATAATCATGAACTTAAATGTCAGAAAATCCAGATTGGGGTTTTTGTGAAAAATGGAACAACAGAATAGTGTTTTTCCCCAGGCCCTGTTCTATGAACATGAAATGTCATTTGTATGGATAAAAGCTTAATCGGGTGTCTTGCATAAGATGCACTGTCATAGGCATTAAGCATTTAGAGAGATCTTAAGAGTAGGAAAAGTGTGAAATAATTCTGTCTATAGATAACTATCTAAAACATTATCTATATCAGATTTACTCCTGATAATAAAAGACCTAGATAGAAGTGTAATGCCTCAATGTTATCTTTGAATAAATTTCTAAGAAACAGTTGAAGGTAATTCTCAATTTTAGGTTTGTTGCCAATTTTTGTTGGTGTTGGAGATTTTTCTCTACAAATAGAACAGAGCTCTTGCATCCTTTTTATTTCAGAAACCACTTCATCTTCGCCAGTGCAGACAACAGAAACCCCGCCTATTACACCACAGGAAACAAGTACGACCAGCTCATTGTTGAACTCTTCTCGTCCAACAGGTAACTTAATTTTATTTCCTGAAAACCTGCATTCAAAATTTGAAAGTCATTGACTTGTAGTTAAGAGCACATATTGCCACAGTAGCCCCTCTAATCTGCTATGTGACTGAAACAAATGTCTTACCCTCTTTGAATCTGTTTTCTTCATTTCTAAATGGATGGAACATCACTGATCATGCAGAATCCTTGTGAGGATTAAATGAGATGAAGAGCTTAGGACATAGGTATAGGGGGTAAGTGATAAATACAATAGCAACTATGACTATTACGTAGATGTCCAGAGTACATACCGGGGGCACTTTTAACCTGGTTCCAAGAATGGCCTCTGTGCTCCTAAAATTATAGGTGAAACCTTATATATAATGTAATTTTTGGCCCATAAAGAAGGAAAAAGTGGTCCATTTTCACAGGGTCCATGAAAAAATTGTTAAGAATCACATCTTACAGAATAGATTAATTAATACTAGTAATTTGGTTTAATTCTTGCAATGCCTGCTGCATTTGGCCATAGATATATTTTTTGGCTACATTTTTTATTCATCATTTCATTTATAGCCAGGAAGCAATGCACATATATTTCATGTTAGTAGCGAAAATTCCATATATTTTATAATTCTAACCAGTTTTCTTTTTGTTGAACAGATGGGAATAGCACCGTGACCCAGCCTTCAGATAGCGGTTGGCAATACAATGAAACTGTAAGCAAATTCCTTCTTATTTTATTAACCATATTCACTTGTATGTCTCTCTGGAATCATGTTATATTTAGAGATTACTTCTGTAAGGCTACCCCACAGATTAATTTTTTTCAGGTTGAGACAAAGAAGAAAAGAATTTGTTTCTTAAATAGGGGTCCTTTGATTAATTGGTAAAGTTCATTTGGATATAGGTAGAACAGCTTGTTCGAGATGCCTGATAAGTGATGTTTTACTCACACACATACACACAACACTCACACACTATAGACTTTCTCCTGGCCAAAAATTTGAACAAAAAAGAATGAACTAATTCAAGGAGAGTGAGCTAATATAACATTCCCAGGAAGACTTCAGTTAACATTAAGGGAAAAACATGCTTTGAGTCACTGTGCTGGCATGGAGGCTGTTCCAAACAAAAATATTATGTAAGTGAAAGTATGCTTGCTTTGACATATGCCCCCAAATATCCTTTTCCAACCTGAATGCTTTCCATATAGAAATTTTGAGGCCAACGCTGAGATTTTCTCTACCTGAATCTCCCTATAGGATGACTTATTTTTATTATTTTTAAAAATATATTTTTATTGATTTCAGAGACTAAGGGAGAGGGAGAGAAAGTTAGAAACATCAATGATGAGAGAGAATCATTGTTTGGCTGCTTTCTGCATTCCCCACACAGGGATCAAGTCCACAAACTGGCCATGTGCCCTTCCTGGGAATCGAACCATGACCTCCTGGTTCATAGGTTGACACTCAACCACTGGGCCATACCGGCCGGGCAGGATGACTTATTAAGATGTGAATATCTCAAACAACTTTGTGATTTTGAAAGATGTACTTCTCCACAGTGATTTTGAAACAAGTATAAAGGTCATCCCTAATCTCATGATGCTCATGAAAGTCTCTCCTTTGCAAATAAGTTAGGCTAAATTATCAATAGAACCTTGTTCTTCTGACTCCCTGATAGAAACCACCTTCCTTTATATGTTTAAATAACTCTTGGAAGCAACTATCAAAAGAGTTTGATTTCTGAGAACAATCCTCGTCCAAATGGTGAGAAATGACAACCCAGCTGTAATAAAAAAATTCAAGCTCAGGCAAAGTGGGATTATTTAGGGTCAAATGAGTTTATGTTGTATATCTTAGCGACAGTTAGAATACCACATAGGCATAACATGAAAAATGTTAACAACTTATATGCCTAGATTCTGATCTGATAGATGTGGGCTGAATTTGTATATACCTCCTAAATATCAGAACTGCCACTATGGAAATGGTTGCTATTTGGCCACACTTATACTGAATTAAAAACACACACATTCTGAATGGTGAACTTGTTCTTGATCTCAGCTACTTGTAGGACAGTTTTGCTTAGCAGCAAGTAGAAGCAATTGGATGCAAGTTCATAGCAGGTTGTAGCGGAATTATGGACTGTTTGTGCCTTATTTCTGAGGATGTCAGCATGTCTGCTTGGTATCTTGAAAACATGCAACATGTATTTTGACCCAATAAGTAAACTTTTAGGACATATATTAAGGAGAAAATTGAACAAATACATGAAGTTATATGAGAAAAGATGTTCATTGCTGCTATTTATAATCATGAAAATGTTATAAAAGAACCTCAATCCTCAACAGTAAGGGATCAAGTACTTTATTAAGCTCACCTACATATTGCTATTAAGAATGTATCTTGTGTTAACTGACTGAACAATAATTCAAATAGAGTATCCTAGAAAAAACACACTTGGGCTTCTTCGGAGTTTGGCTGGCGGCTCTCAGTATTGCCAAAGGCCCCGACTCACCCTTTCTGTCTTGTTTCAGAGGCCTCACATTCTGTGCACAGCTCTTCATCTACAGTGGCCTGAAAACACCCTGGGGTTCAGTGTTGTGTTTGGGAATTATTTCGCCAAGGCCTTTTGAACACTAGTGTCCCAATGAAGTGCTAAATATTATTTCTGTAAGAATGAGGTGTTTGGCCAAAACCGGTTTGGCTCAGTGGATAGAGCGTCGGTCTGCGGACTGAAAGGTCCCAGGTTCGATTACGGTCAAGGGCATGTACCTTGGTTGCGGGCACATCCCCAGTAGGAGATGTGCAGGAGGCAGCTGATCGATGTTTCTCTCTCATCGATGTTTCTAACTCTCTATCTCTCTCCCTTCCTATCTGTAAAAAATCAATAAAAATATATTAAAAAAATTATAAAAAAAAAAAGAATGAGGTGTTTGTTTGTTTTTTAAAAAAAAAACCAGTAATACCTTTCAGAAAAAAAATTTCAATTGATACTTTAGAGAGACACACACACAGAGAAACATCAATCTGTTGTTCCACTCATTTATACATTCATTGTTTGCTTCTTGTATGTGCCCTGACTGGGAACTGAACCCACAACCTTGGTGTATCAGGACAATGCTCTAACCAACTGACCTACCCAGCCAGGGCCAAAGACCCTATTAAATCAAATAGGCACAGAAACACAGGTTTGGAGAAGCTAAATAATTTGTTGAGGGTCCTATTGAGTAAGTGACTGGGTAAAAGAGTCAGGATGCGGACTCCAGAGATTAAACTTTCATGCAGCAAGCAGCTAAATCCTTCTCACTGATCTTCCACTTACTTTCTGTTACAATATCTACACTGTTGGATCTTTTTAGTATTAGAGCTAAGCTATGAAAAGGGACCTGGCATGATGCCTGGCATGTTTTAAACTTATTCTAGGAGGGGGATCCTTATGAACTGCACCAGGAGATTTAAGCAAAATTTGCATTTCCACCCAATTGCACATTTTAAGTTCATTGTTAATCAGGGCCTGTCTGGGAGCAGCTGCTCTTAGGCCCATTTATAATGGCATAGATAGAATTTTGGATTTTATTTAAAAACATAAGGACTGTATCAAAGACCAAATTCAATAATTGAGCACATTCAGATAGCATCAGATACCACCACCAAGTGAACTTATATGTGAACAAAAATTGTTTTCTTTAATTTAAGGGGATATAGCTTATTGAATTAAAAAACACAACCAATATGGGTATTTACATATAATAAAGAGCACCCTTTGAACTGTACACTCTGAGCTTTGACAAACACATGCAACCATAAAAATCTCACTCTAAGCATATATAAAATATTTCCACATCTCAAAATACATACTGAATTTTAGATTGAGAATTTCACCAGGGTTACAACCTCAGGAGATCATTTGCTTTTGCCCGTCATGATCTAGAACAGCGGTTCTCAACCTGTGGTTCGAGACCCCTTTGGGGGTTGAACAACCCTTTCACAGGGGTCACCTAAGACCATTGGAAAACACATATATAATTACATATTGTTTTTGTGATTAATCACTTTGCTTTAATTATGTTTAATTTGTAACAATGAAATTGGGGGGGGTCACCACAACATGAAGAATTGTATTAAAGGGTCGCGACATTAGGAAGGTTGAGAACCACTGATCTAGAAAAAGACAAGAGCCAATAAAGATAAATGTGTCTGAGTATGTTATTTGAAGAAATGTTTTCTGCCCATAATTCTAACAAGATGCTTTTTCAATCTGCTTATATTTCCTTAGGACACAATCTTGAAACAAAATACACAGGAGAACACCAGTAAGTTGTACATTGGACTCTGCATTGCTGCCATGATATTGCTCACCATTTTGGCTGCCATACTTACCCAAAGTAAGTCATTTGACCATTGTGCCTGAGGGAACAAAGTAAGGGTTCTTGAGCCAAACTACCTGGGTCCAAGGAGCTTCACACACCATGTACTTTTGACGTCACGTAACTTCCCTGTTTCATAGCCTTGTTCCTTTTGTTTCTTAAAAATATTGGCCTGTAAAGAAAAAAGGAAATTAAGTTCTCCACAGGAGAAATAAAACACTAAGAAATAAGAGTTTGTTGGGTGGAGCTGGGATTTGGAAGGCAACAAACCACTGTACTAAGCAAATTTGTTCTCTCTTCTTCCTTCCTTGCCCTCAAGACCCCGTTTTTGATCCTATGAAGGATAATATTGTTGAGAGTCTTACAGCACTCACTTAGCGGAAGAGGCAAATGAGACATTGGATGGGAAACAGATTTTAGGCAAGGCTAGACCAACGGGTTTCAAAAACTAGCCATGCCAGCCTCCATGAAAGAACCACAACTGTCCATTTTTAAAAATCCCATATAATAAAAGGGTAAAATGCAAAAAGACTGAATGGCAGAACAACCAAACAACTAATCAAAGCGTAATATGCTAATGATATGCTAAGGCTGCTCAACCGCTCACTGTGTCATGCACTGATCACCAGGGGGCAGATGTTCTGACTGGTATGTTAGCTTGCTGCTGAGGTCTGGCTGATCAGGACTGAGCGAGATGGGCTGGACATGCCTTGGAGCCCATCCACCATCCCTCCCTGTGGGGTCCCTCAGCCTGGCCTGCACCCTCTTGCAATCTGGGACCCCTCTGGGGATGTCGGAGAGCCGATTTCAGCCCAATCCTGCAGGCCACTCCCCTTGGGAGGGCGCCAGATGCAGGGTTCATGTCTGGTGAGCACTGCTGTGGCAGCATGAGCCTCTCCCTATCGGGACTGATTGGGTGCGAGCCTGCGGCAGGCATAGCAGGGCCAGGATGAGTGGGAGTGGCAAGCGGGAGTGGCAATTAAGAGCTGCAGGCAGCGTTGGACTGCGGGTTTTGGCCTGATCCCTGCAGGCCACCTAGAGGGACCCACCTGTGCACGAATTTGAGCACCGGGCCTCTAGTGAAATACAATCATTAACAACTATATTAAAATAAGTTTGGGCATGTGTGTGAATACACTAAACCATTAATAAACATGAGATAGTTAACACACCGGGGCTCCTTTGGGTCCTACAGAGTCAAAAGGAGTTACCTGAAATTATAGAAAAGAGTGTAATCTGAGTTTTGTTTTCCTTTTTAAAAAAACCATTCTTCTAGATTTAATTTTTTCAGTACTGTCTCTGTTCAGACTTTGTTCATTTTAGAGTCATTGCAGCCCTGGTGGAGTGACTCGATTGGTTGGAGCATTTTTCTGTACACAAAAGGGTTTCAGTTTCAATTCCTGGCCAGGGCACATACATAGGTTTCAGGTTCTATTTCTGGTCAGGGCGCGTTCAGGAGGCAATCTATTGATTTTTCTCTCTCAAATCAAATTCTCTCTCTCTTTATCTTTAAAATGAATAAGAAAATTCCAACATATCCTCAGGTAAGAATTTAAAAAATAAAGTTATAGCAGAAATAATGTACATGTTTTGGAAAGGTCTCATGAATTCTTTGGCTGACGTATTTCATTTTTTCTTTAATTCCTTCCCAATTTAGAATATTTATGTGGGAAAAGAATGGTGTTGCAAATAAGGTAAGCTTGAAAGGTTTGTGTCAATGGTTTTTGATGTTCCTACTCTAATAAAATAAAGAATAAATTCTCTCTGTTCCTCTCCTCTTTCTCCTGAACTCTCCATTTTACATCCTGGATCCTAAAAATTCTAGTTCAATGAGTGCCTCCATTGCTGTCTACACCTTCCAATGATATTTTTAGCTTTCTCTATTTCCCTGAAACTACTACAGAAACAGCACCCCAACCCTAAGCTCTCAGAGCAAGAGAACTAAATCACAATAGTGTTTGATGAAATTACGTTTGGATGAGTTGTTTGGTTTGTTCTTGATGTCATTCAGTGCTTTTTTTACTGAAAGCCTATTCTATTCCAAAGAGATGAACAAAATAGACACAACATAGAAGCAAGTCACCAGGGTCCTTTTAGTGCTTCCAGGCAGATAGCATGGGGAATGTAGACCAGGGTAGTGGGCTGTGTGAGTGAGCCTGATGGAGTAGGAGGCCACTGGCAAAGATCTGGAGGAAGACAACTCCAGGCTGAAGCAGTCCCCCACCCCCTGTCGTTCCACACTCAGCATGCTCTGCTGCTTTACATTGCATATCAGGCCTCATTGGCATTTGATGTATAATTTTTATAAATATAACCTATTGTCCAGTTAAAGTTTAAATCTCCTTTACTTTCATCCACTTTCTGTGGTCATTTAAACAAACAACGGTAATGATATGAAACCACTACATACCACCAATCCCAAGTAGCCTGCTTCTTTTAGTGCGGTTAGGGCTTTAAGTAAGGTCTTTCTTTGATTCACCAGCCATCCCTCTGAGGCTGCCATTCATTATTTCTAGTTCTGTTTTGTTGGATGTTAATCTTTCCTATGTCTTAGATCCATGAGCCAATCCACAGACTTTGCCTTGCACAATAGCCAACACATTGTAAGTGCTCCATAAACGTTGGCTTCTATTATTGCAATCATTCCTGCATAGCAATAAACCTGTGGCATAGGTATTATTATTCTCACTTGGTAGATTGGAAAATGGGTTCACACCACACAGCAGGTAAAAGACTCAATCTTAGGTGTTTTGGAGTCTAGAACCCATATTATAGAAGATTTGACTACCTGCTTCTAACAATGGAAGGAAAAAAATACTCCTTACAGGCAGAAAAGCATGATTTCTGTCCTTTCACTGTCAACTTTTTTTTACATCCACCTCTTATCAGTTAATTATTAAAGGAAATATTTATTGTAGAAAATATTGTAAAATATTAAAAAGAAAGGAAAAAAACCAGAAAGAGCATTTATGATGACACCTTTGGGGCAGCTCTTTCACACTGACTCATTTTGAGCTGTTGACACCTAAATTGATTCTCACATGTATGCCTGGTTCCTTTAATGATCTGAGTTGAGTGAAGACTCTACATTTCATATCATTTCTGGGCAGGCTCAGGTAATAAAAACCATCACTGTGTACAAATTGTATATCAGCAGCTATATCAAAACTCTACACATAACCATTTTATATTCTTGGTGTGTGAGTATGTTATGAAAGTCATCTAATTCATGGCTTTCCCATTCTGACCATAAAAACACAATAGTATTTTTGACACCATGATCCAGTACATTATTTAGAAGTGATCTGCTTTTCACTTATGTTATTCTTTTTGTAGCAAAGAACCTCAGACCGGAACTTCCCAAAATGGAACTGCAGTGCGCTACCAAGCACAGGAAAATATTTACTTTGAGAACAGTCTTTACAACGTGCCTGAAGACCCAGCATAACTCCAAGGCTTGAGGTCCTTGACTGCAGAAGGCAATGACTAGATCTCACCATGTCTGTCCTTTTAAGCTCCAGGATGATTTTTATGTCAATATTTCATAGCGTTCCAACATGTCTGTGATGTTAATGTCTTTAGCTCTCACTGCATAGTCAACCTCATTGGTAATTAGTCTTAATTTTTTATACTAAAATTGGCTCAATCTTTCTGGTCATAGCAGAGCCCTCTCCTAAATATGAACTGAACACTTTAGAATTGTTTATTCTGTTTCAACCTTATGAATCCTGTATCCATCAAGACTTCTCATTGGGTTGACATGAAATGAACCAATACCTTGGTCACTAAAACTGTCACAAAGAGGGGAATAGGACTTAAAATCAGCAAATTCGATTTGGAACTTAAATGAATTCACTTGGAAGCATTTCATGATTAACTCTTTTTTTTTTTTAAATCTTGTAATCAGCCCTAATCGGTTTGGCTCAGTGGATAGAGCGTCGGCCTGCGGACTGAGGGGTCCTGGGTTCAATTCCGGTCAAGGGCATGTACCTGGGTTGCGGGCACATCCCCAGTGGGGGGTGTGCAGGAGGCAACTGGTCGATGTTTCTCTCTCATCGATGTTTCTAACTCTATCCCTCTCCTTTCCTCTCTGTAAAAAATCAATAAAATATAAAAATAAAAAAAATCTTGTAATCAAAACTTTACATTTCTTAAGTTCCCCCAAAGGTTTCAAATTATGGAGGCACACAGATTTTTATTTCCTTCATGGGGAATAAAGTCAGTGTGATTTCACCATTAGATCTGTTTGTTCATCGCTCTGAAAATATGAGGTTTTAAGTGCTTTCCTTGGGGCCAAGGTGGGCTTTTAAGAGAAGAAGCTAGGATGGTGAGTGGAGCAAGTAAATAGGTGGAGAAAATCAATGGCCATTTGATTTAATACATGTGTGCTACTTCTGCTACATCTGTGCCACATATAGACAACCATCAGGGATTCTGAACTAACTTTTAGAGTGATGCAGTACAGAGATAAATAAAAGGGCAAAAGAAAGGGAGAGGTTAGGGCAAAAGGCCTCTGCCTTAGAAAAGTAAGTGCAAATCTAATAGTGCTGTTTGAGAGTGTTACTAGTTTCAACTGGAATTCTAAATTGTCCCAAAACCACTTTGATTATTAAAATTATTTTAGAAGGATGAATTTTTTTATATTATCAATTCCAATGCTGTTCCTTTTCCACAAATGAATTAAATTTTTGGTTTTGCCAAGATAGTTAAACAACACAAAAAAGGTAAGAATATTTTTAGCCACCAGAAACATTTCCTTTCTTCATATCAGAAACATTTCGACATGAATAGTTCACAAGGCTGGGCAGTAATTTCAATTTGAATTAATTCTGAAATAATTCACACTTGAGGTTCAGTGCTACCCACACTGTAATGGCCTAGAAGGCCAGAGTGCTTGTTTTTGAAGGCAAAGTTTTGGCATGTAGCTATAAAACTCTAGAAGGTTAATAGCACCTCTGAAAAAAAGGGTATATGGGCAAATAATATTGTTGAGCATTGTTTACTGGGTTTCCCAAATAGGGTGAGATTAATATGGCTTATACATTTTTGTTCAAACTACAGTGTTTTTCTTTTAAATTCAAGACAACATGCAGGAGGCAGCTGATGTGTGTTGCACATTGATGTTTTCTCTTCTCCCTCTCTCTCTTTAAAAATCAATAAACTATTCTTATAAATAAATAAATAAACAAACAAACAAGCAATCAAGCTCATGTGACTGCAGCAAAGTGAATGAGGAGGTTTGGAAAGAGATTAGTTGGAAACATGGGCACTTTATCTCACAGGGGCTGGATGCAAGGGCCCTATGAACACATCTATTTGAGAAGGGTCCCACTCTTAGGAACAAAACACTTTTCATGTAAAGGGTTAAACATTCTATGCACCACCAAATTATACTTTCATTTGTTAACATGCTATCTGGAAGTAAAGAAATAATTTGTCTTTTGCTCTCCCCCTAATCAAAGGCTTTGGTCAGTTGGTTTTGGACAGCTTTGAGCAGTCTGGAAATACACATCCTCCCAAGACTCTCTCTTCTTTGACTCTTGATTACATCAGTTTTTCTGAGAAAATAGAAAAAAGTCATGACTTCATCTAGAGAAAAGGTAATGGTAGCCATCAAAATGTAAGGTGGTGCCTTATTGGCCTTGACTACGAAATGTCAGTGTGGTGTATCTGGGACTTAGAATACCTGGGAATCTAATTGTAAAGTTCCCTTAGGGCAGCGGTTCTCAACCCTTTGGCGGTCGAACGACCCTTTCACAGGGGTCGCCTAAGACCATCCTGCATATCAGATATTTACATTACGATTCCTAACAGTAGCAACATTACAGTTACGAAGTAGCAACGAAAATAATTTTATGGTTGGGTCACAACATGAGGAATTGTATTTAAAGGGCCAGAAGGTTGAGAACCACTGCTTTAGGGCCTTTGGAGCTCTGACTTCAGTGTGTAGTGGCTATTGGTGTCTTTACCCAATGTCCCCTGAGCCCTTTGTCACCCTAGCCTCCAGTGTACTAGTAATTTAAAAAACCAAGATCTGCTCTGCTGGTATGGCTCACAGGTTGAGCATTGACCTATGAACCAGGAGGTCATGGTTCTATTCCTGGTGAGGGCACAAGCCTGAGTTTGTGAGCTCGATCCCCAGTGTGGGGCATGCAGGAGGCAGCTGATCAATGATTCTCATCATTGATATTTTTTTCTCTCTCCTTGTCCCTCTCCCCCTCTCCTCTGAAATCAATAAAAATATATTTAAAAGTAATAAAAAACCAAGATCTGATTGTGTTCCATATTAGCTGAAAATTCTCCCACTGCTTCCCAGTGGGTAAAAGACCTTAGTCCGTAGTAAGCTCCTCACCACTTTCCCTTGCCTGCTTCATGCAACCCCTCCCAGATGTACTCTAGTGGAGAGAAACTCCTCAGATGTCCACTCTCACTCTGAAGCTCAACCCATCTTTGGGGAAAGCTTGTGTCCTGTATTTTCACTGGGAATATATTTAAGTTTCAGCCCAAATGTCACCTCTTAAGCCCTGCTGGACCTCATCCCTCTAGCCAGAATTAATCTTCTCTTGTGAACACTTCTGTGGAGCCTTTTTTAGCCACTAGACAAATATGCCAGGCATGGTGCTATCTATCGCCTAGCTTGGGTCATTCTGCATGAGGCCAGGGCCCTACCTAGCATGTGGAGCACATCGGGGGGAATTACAGACACACCCCCCTTTTTCTGGCTGGCACAGCCCCTGAGCCAAGGCAAAGGCTTGTCAAATGGAGTCTGTCCAAACTACTAGTACAAGCCTAAATAGTGACTATAGTGACCCTATAACTTAGTGCTTTAATTAGAGATGTGTAGGTTGAGAACGCTTTGTATGTTGAGCTCTTTGAGGGAAGTGTATGCAGTTTCTCAGCACCCAGCTTACACATAGCATGTGCTTAGTACATACTTATGAAAATTGGGGAATACATTGAAAGAATGTTTCCTAGAACCTCCCTGTGTGTGCTGGGGAAGAGGAGGCAGGGGAAGAGCTAAATTTCTTTAAAACTTTTTATGAGATAGAAACCACTCTCTTCTGGAGTCTGCGTGAACCTCAAGGATTCTCTGAGACCCGTGCTTTGCAACCTTGGCTGTACATTAGAATCACCTGGGAAGCGTGGCCAACTACGCATGCCCAGACCAAGTCAATCAGAATCTCAGCTGGGGGGCCAGAGAGTCTTTTTTTTTTTTCTTTTTGTTTAAAATCTTCCAAGGTGATTTCAATGTGTAGCTGAGGCTGAGAACCACTGACCTGGAAGGACTTGGCAAGGGAAGGTGAGAACTTGTGCTCTTGTTCTGTGTGAAGAGAGCTCTGCAAAACATAAAAGGTACAGACTAAAACAATATCGACAGCGGGCTGGGACAGGTGGGCAGACGCTGGGTGATAGCAGATCTTTCCTGTGTCTGGCTTGCATGGCAACAGCATTATATTGGTGGCGGCCCTGGGAAGGAAAGCATGGATGCTGCCACGTGTTTGAAAGCTCAGGAGGCCAGCCCGCAGCTGTGTAGCTGACTGTCCCAGGCTTCCTAAGAACTAAACGTTTTCTTCCACAAGTTGTAAAAATAAGCAAAGAAAAAGTCCCTTTGGCCTGTGAGGGTTTGCTCTAAGGTAACCTTTTTTGTGTTATACTGTGGACTGCTGAGATGGGGTTTGCTCTGTCTGGCAAATGCTGAATCTGCTGAGCTCAAAACAGTACTTGGAGGATGCCTGATGCACACATTTCTCAATGAACTTAATTTTTTAGAGCAGTTTAAAGCTCACCAACAAAGTGGAGTAGAAAATACAGATTTTCCCAAGTAACTCAGCATGCTCATCATTAACACCTTTCCCAAGTGGGGTACATTTGGTACAGTTGTGAATCTCTTCTAAGAAAACATTGTTTATATATTTATTGATTGATTGATTTAGGATTAAGAGCCACTTTATTCTTTTTTGGTTTATTTTTTATTTTTCAACTAATGTTTACCTTTGATATTATCTTGTGCTGGTTTCAGGTGTACAGCATAGTGGTTAGACAATCATATACTTTAAAAAGTGTTCCCCCAATACTTACCTGGCACTTTACATGGTTATTACAATATTATTGACTGGATATTCATATATGCTATAATTTACATCCACATGACTATTTTATAACTACCAATTTTTTAAAAAACCAATTTGTACTTCTTAATCCCTTCATCTCTTTCACCCAGTTTACCACTCCCTTCTTCCTCTGGCAACCAGCAGTCCTCTCTTTGCATCTATGAGTCTGTTTCAATTTTGTTTGCTTGCTCATTTTGGAGAACTTTTTGTTAGATAATCAGGGAATTTTATATGAACTGCAAGAATTAGGTGCAATTGGATAGTGCAAGATGAAGATACAAGGAGGGGCACCGTAATGTTTGCAGTAATTTTTTTAAAGGCCAGAAGTCACTGCAGGCCTGCACTCAATTCTGGAACTCTTCCTGGCAGCCGGAAAGGACTTCTTAGAGAGAGAACAGTAAACTCGGTCCTATCAGGGGCAGGAAGTTGGCAGAGTGACCCTAGCAAATGCCCAGCGAGAGAGCCCTGGCCAGAATGTTAGCTCAATTTTTGTTCTGTTTAGCAGCTTTATTGAAAGATAATTCACATACCACATTCTGTTTCCTAAATATCAGTCCTGAATCCATGGTTATTTGACTCCGCCTTACACTTGAATATGGGCATTTGCTGGATGTTATTAGTTATGTGGGCAGACATATCAAGGGCAAATATCAAGTCCATGAAACATAGTTTATAGAGGAACAATCTGGAGCTTAGGCACTTGTGTTCTCATTTGAAATTACCAATCCTGTGCCTTTGGGCAAATCAAGCTTC